CTTTCCTTCCACTGTGTTCTCTGCTTAGGGACATACAGGTGGAATCTTCCCTCTGTAGGCCACTTTGTTCAGGTAATTTTTACTATGCACAAGGACGCTGCAAGCAGGGTAAATATAATCTGAAAGTACAAGACATTTGTTCTTTAATAAATAAAAGATTTAACTAGGGCTAATAAGCTGCTAGACTTAGGATGCTGACTGATGAGATGCTGGCCAAGCAGTTCAGTCACGTAGAAAAGTGAGCCACAATTCCATTGCTCCCTGAAATGGTCTGATCCTCAGTGTTGCTCAATCTTTTGACTCTCATTTTGACACTGTGGGTTTTTCTTTTTCCCCTAGCTTTTTTAGCCTTTTTCCCCATCACTTGAACTGCTAGCAGTCCCTTTTTCAATGATATTATTTTTGTCTCCAGTTCTACCTTTCTTATCTTGCACAGTTCCACCCTGAAACCATGCTCTTTCTTGTAACTTAGCAGGTTCCTCAGAAGTTTAAGCTAACGTTACTCAGCTACGCTCTATCAAAAGTGGTCTTGGAAGACAGACATTTAAGCCGCTTTAATGAGTTTTAGACTGTTTGCTCAGAAAGAACTTTTTGAATTATGTGAATTTGGGACTGTTCTTCTCTAGTCTTGTTATCTAAACTGCAGTTGTGGATAGAGTATGTTTTGGTTCCCTACAGACCTGGATGTCCACATTTCTTCCTTGGAGCAAGTAAGTTTGTTTATGCCCAGCTGGGTGAACCTGAAGTTCAGGTGGCTTCTGTGGCTCTGGGCTTCAGGATGGGATGTATGGAATAGGAAGGAATAAAGACAAAAATTGTATGTGTTCACAGGAGTTATCAATAAAAGTAGTTAAATCGTAGGCTTTTTTAATAAAACAAAGATAGAAAAGAAGAACCTGGGACTGGAGCCTTTTTGCCTGGCCATTTGTTAAGGAGTTTGGGATGTTTGTTGTGTAATGAAGTGTTCAATATGGTAAATAGTCATATATTTAATGGTCTTGTAATACAGATTTTTGTGCTTATGTGCCTCATATTTTTTGACATAAAACATTGCTTGACAAATATGTAATCTAATAGCATTGCTACAGATTCTTCTTAATGATCAAATTATGTGTCTCTAGAAAAGATTTAGTATAATGATTTTTGTATGTGATAGAAGATAAAGTTAATGACATGCATATATATTTTACAAGTTTATATTATTTCCTGAGCAAAGTATCCTTTAGATACTTTGTATATCAGGTATATGTGACCATTCCTGGTAAAATGTATAGAAAATGCCAATGCCATCTCTAATATTACAACCGACTTTCTAATCCTTTAACAAGTCAATTTCTGACACTGTCTGTAGGCAGTAGTTGAACATTATTCTCTTCTTTCTGTCTTTGAACTTTAATTAAAAACAAAAATCAATCAGGAACGTTTTTAGGAATAGCCGCACCTGGGAGATGGAGGACTCGAGAGTCCTTAGCTCAAAAGAGCGACTGCCGCTTATAATTCGGAAAGAACTTTGGGAACATTTTCTACAGGGGACAGCTTTTTTCCTCCAGATTATAGCAGAGCTCTCTCACCTTGGACTATCTTTTTTTTTTCTTTCTGTCTTATTTATTTATTTATTTATTAATGCCACATGACCTTCAGGCCATATAACACACTCTCTGAAAGTTGGGGGCTTCCATAAAGCATTTTTATCTGCTGGTATGTTTTATATATGTGTATATATATATATATATTTGGATAGCTTAGTCTCAAATTCAGGTTTTCTTTCCCTTTACTTTCCCATTGTCCCTCATCCTATCCTAATTCTTGTCTTTTTTTTTTCCTTACCCCTTCATTTAGGTTTTTTAGGATCATTTTGTATTTTCTTGATTTTTTTTGTAGATGCACGTCCCTTAAAGCTGCAAAAGAACGACAGCTTTTCATAATGTTGCTCCTACATCATAAGTTACATTTTAACAGAATGTCAGAAGTGTTTAGACTTCTTAATGGTTAGACAACTGTTGCAAGAGGAGCAATTTGGGAGCTCATAAGAGACACCTATACTTCATGCTAAATCTTTTTCAAAAAATCATAAGGCATTGATATGGCTTCTCCTATGGCCTTATGCCTAATAGGAACTGTGTATGTTTATATGTTTAAAATCAGAAAATTTCATTTCCTTCTCCTTCCTTTCCACTCCTCCTCTTCCCCCTCAAAAACCCTAACAAATAAAGCCCACGAAGTTAGTATTTGTATTGAATTTTCTATGGGCTACATTAGGTTTTCTCAAAGGATGTGCAGGTGTGATCACTGTGTACAGAGAAAGGCAAGTTTATGTATGCAAACAGGTCTGTATTCTAAAGTAATTGGGCAGATTGGCTAATTACGTTTCTAGGCATCTGGTTGCATATGCAGTCTACAAGCATATGCACAATTTGGTATCTGCAAATTAATGCAATCACAAGGGTTGCTGGTAAATTAAATCCGTGGATTTAATTTTACTCATCAGGTGACAACAGTGTCAGATAAGGGGGGAGCTTGCCTATTCTGCACTAGTTTCTTTTTTACTCCAAAGAGATCCTAACTCACTTCTCAGGAAATTTAGAAGGAAAAAGTTTCACCAACTTGTTTTGTGTGCACGGAGTGACAATCCACATCCTTTTCTTTCCTTCCTGATGGATCATTTTGCTTTTACCTTAGTGTAAAAGCTTATGGGGTTTTTTGTTTGTTTCTTTTCTTTATGTCTTTTTCTTTTCTGTAGACGTCCTTAAAAGCAGGATGATAATAAGGATATGAAAGAGGATGCAGATATTGTAGGAAAATGTGGTTGTATCTAGTCCTTTCTTTCATCTGTGTTTGAAATATCTGCACGCCAAAACCCTTGCATGTGTCTCGGATCTCCACTCAAATTTCAGGAATTTGCTGATATCAGTGAGGTTCTTCCAGCTGGTATCTGTTCCAGGTGTTTTATGCAGTGTTTTAAAGCACACTATTTCAGATAAATCAAGATATTCCATCGTGTTGATAGTTGAGGCTCTCTGGACTTGGGTTACTGGGGCAATTGCAGGACTGTCAGCAATAAAAATAGTAAGGAATGAGAGAAAGATAAAATCCTCAAATTCTAATTAGACTTGAGCTCATACTTGAAAAAATCTCAGAATAGTCATGGAAGAGGAGCAGCAGATTTTATTACTATATAAACCATAACCAAGTTACAGCCCAGCTTTGCCTTTCTTTATTAGAACTGAAATGAAATGGATTTTACTTAGCTTTCAAATGATGTTAATCAGCAGAAAGTACTGATATTTATTATTATTTGTTGTGTTATATGTTGGAATTGTTTCCTTATTATATATTTCCATTTGGGTATACACACTTTGTGTACAAATATTTTAGCATCGATTATGCTACCTGGAGCTGAAGCTGTAGTAGGCTTTTGCAGCAGTAACTCATATTTTTGTGTGTTCTATGTACCAGGTCCCTTCCTACACCCTAAAATATCTGTATAGTTCAGAATTTAGTCATACAAAATGTCTGAATGGAAATTTGTATTTGTAAATTTTGTGTTTTTCTTCCTGAAGACCAAATTTAAAGCCAAAATTATGGAAAGCATAAACAAGATGAGTATAACTGAGAAATGGGTTTTGGTTTTGACCATCACCACTTTATCACTAGGTGTGTGCTTTTATGCTTTTCCTCTGTACATTGAAACTGGAGGGTAGAGATCTTTCATTTCTCTTTATCACTTCAGATGAGTTCTCCCGAAGCAGTGATTCATGAGTAAGTGGGGGAATACTGCTTGCTTATAAGTGAACCTTGTCAAGCAAGTTCTGCAGTATTAAATGGGAGTTGATCTGTAGAGTTTTTTGAATTTAAACATTTGCTCCTTCGGTACGTCTTGACAAGTTATAGCTGTGTTCTAGGAACAGTCATTTTTAGATTCATGATTAAGATTTCATAAATGAAAACCCAATATAAAAGTCATGTGTTGCTTTTCTATTTTCTTATTTATAAGAAAACCACTAGTATAAAAGAATTCTGGAGATCTGCCTGTAGATCTGGAGACTCTCCTAAAGGAGTCCTTTCAGGGTAATGGCTAAATACCTTCATAAATGCAAAAAGCTACTGGGAAAAGTCACGAAATAAAAAAATCTTTCAAAGCTACAAAGAGAAAGCACCTATGGCTGAGGATGTTCCCTATGCCACAAATTATTGAAGCCTAGGAGAGTACTCTGAGGAAGTGTCAGTATTTATTTCCCGTGTTTTCATGCTCTTACCTAGGCATCTGCTATGGGCTACTGTCAGAGACAAGTGCAGGCCAGGAGACAAATACTAGGCAAGACAGTGTTTTAGTCTGAGGCAACAGAGCTTTTGCTTGAGTTAAAATGATCCATCTATCTGTATCTGTCTACCTCTCTGTATAAATGCAGGCAAATGTATAAACACAAGCACATGGAAATACATGTGCTGATGAACTCTGTGTTACAGTGAATTACCTTATTTTTTTAATCCAAATTTTGCATTGGTCTGTGGAATCTGAATTTCAAGAAATGTAAAATGTGGGAGACAGTGGTCAAAGTAAACAGTGCTCTGAATGAGCTGCTTACTGTTTCTACTCTAAGTATGTCATTTTAAATACATGTGACTTTTCTAAATACCAGTATTAAAAACAGGCCCATTCATGCTGTCTAACGAAAGCACAGGAATCCCACACAAAGCAGGCTTCTTTCACTGGTCAGTAAGTATTACCATCTGCAAAGCAGCATCTTAATATCTTTTTTTGGTTGAGAGTACTTAGATAATTAAATAATAATAATTAAATAATACACAGGAATCAAATATCACTGCCATGAGTGCTATGTGAAAGCTGTATGCCAAACACTGTACCAGCTCTTTACTTGAAAGGAAACTTAATGCCTGAAATTATGTATGACTTGTTTGTAAAGGCTCATAAAATACCCTGAATGTGTTCTATTTTTACTACCGCTTATCAGAATTACATACTTTTTGTTTACTTACAGTATGAAAGAGGCTGGTTTAGGCCATAAACAGTGGAGGGGTGGTCCCATTTCATCAAACTGCAAGCAGTGTCCAGTAGTTTATACCAATCCTGTTTGTGGATCAGATGGTCACACATATTCTTCTCAGGTAAGAACTAAATAAAGAATTGAATTATTCTTTCATTGTTCCAGCTCTTGGAAAGCAAATAAAAAATGTAACAGAAATCACCTTTTCTTTATTTTGACTAAAATACATATTCTACATATTATGTATAGTAAGACAAAGCAAAATGGTAGAAAATTTCTAGTAGCCAAAAAAAATAGTTGACCAAAAAAAAAAAAAAAGGCACAATGTAATAGTGTTCCATAGTGTGACAGAGCCCTGGATTTAAGTTTGTCTGCTGAAGACACCAATGCAGTGTTTTGAGTAGGGAAAAATAAAGAAGCAATGTTGTGCAGTTCTCCAATTTGAGGAGCAGAAAAATAAATCTGATAAGTCAAATTTTCCTGTTGACTGCTAAGAACACATTCTGAGCACCTAAGCTTAGAAGCAAAAAAAAACCAGTTAAAATATATTAATGTAAATAACAGTTGCACATCTTTCCTGGTTGCGACAGGTTTTTATATATTTGACGACTATAATCAAATCTTCCTTCTGTATTCCTCTATTCCTCTCTTTTCCACCCTACTTATTTGGAGTGAGTGTAATCATTGCAAATATGCTACTGTTTGCTTACTTGGTCTTTTGTAGAGAAAAGAGTTTGCTCTTGTCACACTAAAATCCAATAACCTTGGCATTATTAGAGCGTTCAGCTAAAACTTTGGAGATCTTGCAGGGTGATAATAATGCTGAAACCAGCTTGATTTGCTTAGCATATCCTCTTAAAACTTTCAGCAGAAAAATGTTTGGCTGGCATTATCAACTGAATTCTGTGCAGCAGAAAAGAATGTGGCTCTTGAAGGACCTGTTCTTATCAGAAACTGTAAGAAACTTGGTAATGTAAAAGGAGCTACTACTCTGTAAGCTCACAAAGCCATTTCCTTTTACTGCCAAAATGTTTCCAATAGTGAATAACATCCAGTGCTCTAAAAAGTGTGTTAGTAATAATAACAACTATAATGTTGATTGTTGTGATTAAACTGTCAGAAACGCACAAGTTCTGTCTTCGTTACTTATATAAGAAACTATTTTGTCTTTACATCATTCTAAACAAATATTTCCTGTTATTTACAGATTCTAGAATTCTTATTTGTTGTATTGAATTTTCTTTTGATTTTCAACTGCAGTCACATACTTTGACTTTTACAAAATAGGATTAGGGTTTCCAGGAGTGACGGGCTATTGAACTGAACACAAAATATCATCTCCACTGTTACTGTAATAAAAATATTAGTGTATAACTAGAGTTTTTCATTCTTGACAATTCTTATGCTTTTATGTTGAATCTTACATTAGAAAGTGTTTTTCTTAAAATCCCATTACTCATAGATATCCTTATCCCTATCTATCCCTATCCCTATCAGTGATACTGAAAAATTGTTTTAGGTATTTAAAAATGTGTTTAGGTACATTCTTATTTTCATTCAGAGTAATCTGCTTACATATTATCAAGAGCTTGAAATGTGCTTGGATCTTGTTGGACATTAGTTGAGTTGGTCGTTTAAGATTGTTTTACTGAGTTGTGTGAAAGCTCCAACATTATTTTGAGCCCCAAGCATGGCCTCTGCATAACCATAAAACAGAATGGGGTCCCTAAGATCTCGCAATTTAGAGACGAGATAGATAAATTGATATAGATAAATACTGAATGAGCAACTTTTTAAAGCAATTCAGATATCCAATACAGTCTCCCCCTACTTTTTTCGTGCTATTCCTGTGTATAAATGTCACAGCTATTTTTTAGCTTCATTGCCTATTCCCAGCATTATCATCTGTCCATCCCACAGAGACACAGAGGAACTGCCACAATCTTTGAGGAGAATAAAAAACAGGAACAGAAGAAGTAGATCTTAGTTATACTGCAGCCTTTTGTTTCCCCTTTCCTTTCATTTTGGAAGCTGGCAAGTTCTCTGGAGGAAGGAACAGAAATGTTTTTTGTAGCCCTTCTCTATCCACCATGGTGCTGCAGAAGTGGTTCTCCCTCGTAAGTTAAAGAACTGGGAGAAGTGACATGAGGAGAAAGGTAAAGAAAGGAATATCTTGTGACAAGTTCACATTCAGGACAAGGTGGAATGCTCTACTTTTGCTAATGCTGCTTACCTCTGATTGTATTTGTCTTTGGGAAAGAAAGCCAGTTGCTCAATGTTTTGCACAGAAATGCCTGTTTTTACAGCTGTGAAATAATTAGCACTTATTTTTAGAATCACTCTTGTCCACAGTGGATTAATCTGAGGCATATAGTAACTTTTTTCAATTAGCTATATATGATTAAACACTGATGCCCTAGTAGAAGAGGTCAGAGTCGATTCACTTTGTGTGGAAACATATGGAAATAAACATTCCTTAATAAAATGGGTGGCTTCCGTAATTCTTTTTCTGAATAGTCCTATAAGCTGATGTGACCCTTGTGGCCTCTACTGGCTTGTCTGAAGCACTTGTAAAGGAATTTATAAATAGAGATAAGATGCAGATATTTTTTACGTATGTGTTAAGAATGGGGATGTTCTTGCGAAGCAAAATGGTGAGGAATGCATGGAGTAAATATCTCTTTACTCCTTCCCAGAGAAAGCTGCAACCTGTGCGATAATACACACTCCATGTCCCTTCCACGGATGTAATTGAAAAGCAATTAAGCATCAGGGAGCATTAGCAGGGCTTTCCCTTTTGCCTCCCCTAGCTGATAGATATTTGATCTAGATTTATGATAGCAAAGTGTGTTTAACAAAGGAAAAAATAAAAGTTTATGACCACAGAAGATCTGTCTTAGTTTATATTTATTTGTATAACCTTTCAATGATATTCTGATTTCATATTCTGTGGTGCAGCTATATCAGAGGTCCTTACAAGGTTATTTCAGGAGTATTCATTTTTTAAATGGACATAAAGATGAATAGTTGTGTTCTTTATTACAGGCACAGTTTAGTTGCATGGTGTCATGAAGTCCCCTGGAAGGAATTTAGTGCAGTTATAGTAATTTTCTTCCATTGAGAATGCATTTGTTAATAGTTATGGCAAATTGTACAACACAAAATAGAACAATTTCAGGAAAAAAAGTTCAGTAAATAGTTAATAATATCATACAACATAGCTAGCTGGAAAATTATCTATTGAACATTACTTTGGGATGATTTTCAGGTCAAGCACATGTGAAATATTTTGTATTAAACTATGTAACAATAGAAATTTCATATATATTTTCTGCTTTGAAAAAAAACAATAATAATGGTTGGACATAGAGATAATAATGGTTGGTAGAGAGAAAAGTTAACTTCTAAACTGAGCTTATTCAGGGTCAGGTAGCAATGTACTGTTTCGCGTTTTGGGAGGCTAAGTTGTGTTCTACTGTGCTCTTAATAAGTCAAGTGGTTATTTGCCAATTAACCACTTGACAATTTGACGATTAACCACTTGGAGTCAGTCAAAAGGAAAAGTAGCAATTGTAAAACATTCATCATAGTAGTACAGGATTATTGTAATGAAAATATATAGTGAAATTCTGACTAATCAAAGTGAGCATTAACTAGTATGTGAGAAGAAATTCAGTGTAAAGACATGTGGCACTTTCCTTATTAGAATGATTTTATAAACAACTTTTACTTCATAATACTTCAAGTAATACTGCATGTATTTTACATTTTATTCATCCAGTTTCACCTTTTGCATTTCTTTAAACATGGGCATTTTAAAGTGAATTATTTATTTTAACTCCAGGAATTCTCACACGGGGCTGTGTCTTAAGCCTCCGTCTCTCCCATGCATTTGGTAACTCATCCATTGCTGCCAGGACAGCTTGTGTATCCTGTTTCTAGCTTTATCTTTCCTGGGATTAATAGGAGAATAAACAGGACATGCAGTGCAGCTCAGATGGGCTGTTTAGCTGAAGCATTTGGCTCGTTGTCCTACCTGCCACGGATGCAGCTTCCTGCAGGTCAGTGCGTGCATGATGAAGCCAGCAGGACTCTGGGTCATAGGAGAAGACTTTGGATGGCTTCTGTTGGAGCAATCCGTACACCAGACTGACTGTTGCAAGTTGCCTTCAAGAAGGGCGGCCTCAAGGAATGGGCTAGATATTGGATGAAATTGTCTTTTGGCCATTTTTTTAAAATTTTAATTATATATCTGATTTTTTGTGTGGAGTTTTCTATCTCTGGTTGAACAGAATCTAGTCTACTGTGAAAAAAATTGTTTTTAAAAGAAATCAGCAAGCAATTCTTTGAATTTTTTGAAAAGAAAACACCATAGGAAAGGATTCATTTTTAAAATATGCCAGTTGCTCCCTTTTATTCCAGAATCACTATCAGCGATTCTGAGATCAGTCTTTTGGCTAGCAGCAATTTTTCCAAGTCATTTTCATACTGATAATGATTTTTTAAATGAAATATTTTCTGTCCTATCTATGAAAAATTCTCACAATGGTGAGATGTAGGAAAGAAAACACTAAGAGTGAAGGCTTTACAGATTTGTTTGGCCTTCTTTTTTATTATTATTATTTTAAGAAAATCAAAAGAGAGAGAAACCTCTGAGAGTTAATAAACAATCTATGTAAAAAATAACATAACGAAATAAAGTTGGAAATAGCAAGTGGCAAACTTGAAAAATGGCTCAGGTCTTGGCCCATCAAAAAAGAAGTGTTACAGAGAAGGAGGGAATATGGAAAATGCACGTAAGCACTTACTAAAAAGGGAGAAGTTTAATGGTGCATGGTACAGTCTTGTTGTCTTGCCCAGAATGAAATGCTGGACTGTCAGAGACACACAATTCCATTTTCTGTTAAACATATCTGTTAAAAGGAGCAAGGAGAGAGCCATGCCCCCAGAAACTGTCCCTGTACCCAACATCTGAGTCTTAGGTAGCGCTTCCAGATATGGGAGTAGAAGAAATGGTAGAAAATGAATCGACAAAGAAATTTCTGGATTTTTTTTTTTTTGAGTAATAGGCTATGACTCTTTCAGAAAGCACATTATGTCTTTCTCTGTGATAGCAATGTG